CCCTTGCACTCCGACAACCCCCACCGCCCCGCCCCTCCCGCAAAAAGACCTCCCAGCCGCAAGAACAAACCTGCAAGCCGCAAGAAAAAACCTCCCAGCTGCACGGAATCTCCCAGCCGCAAAAAAAGTCCCAGCCACAAGAAAAAACCTCCCAGCCGCCGCATGTCCCCCCTCCTCACCCGTGAGACCGTGGGGATCAGGGTAGAATATGCGGCCGCCGTTTTCTGATACAATCGCATCAGCATAGGGCAGGTATGGCAGCCGCTGCAGCACCGTCGCCGTGCGGGCGCCGGAGACGATCGCGAGGCGCGCGCCGGACGCGCGAAGGGCGGCGGCGAGCCGCAGGGTCTCGCGGGATATGATGCCCTGTCGTTTGGGTTTGGGTTTGGGTTTGAGAATGTGTGTGTGTCAGTGTGTGTATGTGTATGTGGGTGGGCGATGGATGTTTGTGTGTGAGGGTGGATGTGTGTTTGCGTTGTGTGCGGGGCGAATGAGTGTTTGTGTGTTGTCTGGGCAGGCTAGGGTTTATCCACAGAAGGACTCCCCTCTGAAGATGGCCACCGAAAGAGGCGACGCAAGGCCCGCGCCCCTGAAGCGCCACGGCCGCCGTAAGGAAGCCCCCCCACCCGCCTCTCCTCTCTCACGCTCACCCTCTCACCCGAAACCGACTGCGCACGCGTGCATGCGTGACCCATCCACCCCCCCCTCCCCTGATCCCTTCTGACCCCTCACCACTTTGCCTGTGGTGGAGGGCGGCAGCACGATGATGTCATCGTTCTGCTGCAGCTGCTCGAGGGACGCAGGAACGAGAGAGGGGAAGCGGCAGGAGCGCAGGGCGTGCGAGACTCGCTTAGTGGCGGGTAAGCGATTGCAAAGTGCGCGTGGCCCCTCGCAGCACGCGCGGCGGCCCGCCTCCAAAGCTGCTTCACCCCAAAGCTGGTGCGGGCCGACGCCTCCGCATGTAAGGGAAACAGGTCAAAGCAGAGCGCTCAGGCCAGCCCTGCGGCTGGCGGTCGGACGGGCTCGGCGGGGACGGAGGAGGCTGCGTCTGGCAGGCATGCATGCGCCTGGCAGGGCGGGCCCAGCCGGCCGCTTTACCGTCCCTGCGGCGCGCCGCGGGGCGGCCGCTGCGCACCTGGGGGAGGTCCTTTGGATCAGGGTAGTGGACCAGGGTGCCGTCGATATCGGAGAAGCACACCAGGGCGCCACTGGCCGCCGCCATTGGCGCCGCGGCGCGGGCAGGAGGGCGGGGCGGCGTGGCACGTGCAGGAGGGGGGCGGCGCGCCAGCGGCAAGCGAGAGCGGGGCGCGCTGGCTGGTGGCAGCCGCCTTGTACACGAGCTGGATCAAAGACGCGGATCCCAAACCGAGCTCGAATTGGCAGTCGAAGACCTCCGATCAGGTCAGCGTTGCGATGTATGCGCACTGAAAGCTGATGTGATGGTTGTTGAAGAACGAACGAATCAATAATTTTACAATGCATGCATGCGCGGTGCGGCGCTGCTCGGCCAAGCTGGAAGCTTCCCATCGCGGCACTGCCGAGTAAGCCTTTGTCACGGTGGTGATGCCGGCGATTCTTGATCCCAGACAAGCTGCTGCCTGACCAAGGTGATTCATCTGAGCACCTTTGATGAGAATTCACTATGAACAGCCAGATAGGACGGAACGCGTGGCACGATGAAGCAGCAACAGGTGGCCGCTGCGTGTGTGGGTTGGCTGATGCTGGGCTGGCGTGACTTGCTGCCTTAAGGAGGGACCCATATTGCTTTCTGGGCGGTATTGGTGAGCCTCAAATCTCCGGCGTCGTCGTTCCTCACATGGGCCTCGCTGCGCGGGCTGCTGCCAGGTGCTTGAGCAACGAGCGGCCGTGGGTGGGGCGGGGATGGAGGGTTGAGGCAGCATATTTGCGAAATCCTGCGGCGCCGTGAGGGCGCGGCAACGAGGTCGGCGCCAAGGTGACGGGGTTGACTGCTGTGGCACGGCGCCTGCTGCGGGGCAGGGAGGGGCGCGGCAGCCCCGTGGGGTGTTGGGGAGGGCGTGGGTGGGGGTGGGCGTGGGTGTGAACTGAGGGTGGAAGCACGGATGCGTGCCGCTGTGGATCGCTTTTCGGGCACGGCCACCGGCCAGATGGTGGAGAAAAATCGATGTATAAGCTCGAGCTTAGTGAAGCTGCCTGGTGTGCGAGGTTGGGCCTGCGTGGGTGTTGTACGGTATCATGTGCGCGGCGCCCGCCCACACCTGCAGCAACGGGGCCCGCGTCACTGCGAGGTTGGGGTCACGCTTTCTGGCTCAAGGCAGTGTTCGGGGCCACGCTACGGGATTTCTATGATCGTGAGCCCTCTTTCAGCTCAGCGGCGTTGCCCAGGGCTTCCGTTGCCGATTGATGCGATCTCACAACACGCAGCTGAACGACAGACAGCACCCTGGATCTAATTGATAGCTTACGGGGTATCTGAGTAACCGAAGCAACTGGCTCCTCTTCTAGCCGAGCTGTGAGCTTCCCATTGCGGGCCTCGCGCACTGCAGCTGGCAACGGCGCCCGCACCGGCGCCCCGCGCACGCGCGCGCGCCGCGCCATTGCTTGGCACCTCCCGGCGCGTGGCGTCAGTAGCGCCGCCTGCAGCGGCGTCCGGCGTCCGGAGAGAGAGCCGCGGCCGCCCAGCAGACGCAGCACGGCATCTTGATGCCTGCTGCCCCACTCCCTCGCCCCCGCCGCCCCCGCC